CAACTGACCTGGGTTCAACTCTCAATACCACAGAGCATCACTCCTGCACACAGGGACAAGAATGAGTCCTGGGCAGCCCCAGGTGCGGCCCCAAATAGCCCCTCCCACAAAAAGGAGCACCGTCTGGAGGTAACAAGGACGAGGAGCTGTGGCCTGGAGTCACCGCTCCACCATCGCCATCCCTTCCCCTGCTCCCCAAAAGTCCTCAAGAGTATGGGGGCTGGAGCAATAGCACAGCGGGTAGGGCGTTTGCCTTGCACGCGGCCAACCCGGGTTCAATTCCCAGCATCCCATAGGGTTCCCTGAGCACCGCCAAGAGTAACTCCGGAGTGAGCCAGGAATAACCCCTGTGCATTGCCAGGTGTGACCCCTCCGCCAAAAAAAAGAGAGTAACCACAAGGCACCCCGAAGCGCTGGGGGCAGTGGGCAGCGAGCAAGGTGCCAGGCATGTCTGGGCACTGATGCCAGGCCAAGGGGAGGGGATGGGAGCGCCCTCCCGCGGCCGACCTGGCTTTCTTTCCCTGTGACAGGCCCTGGCCATCTGGGCCCCGGCAGCTGGTACAGAGTAAGGCTGTGCCCAGCACCACACAGGCAGAAGCGGGTCTCTCTCCGCCCTCTCTGGCAGGTTCTCTGGGTACTGGGTCCGCCGTGAGCTGACATTACTGTGGGGGGCAGCGGGGACAGACGGAGGAGACAGGGGTGTCGAAGGAGAAGGACCACCACGACAAACACATCAACGAGGACAGGACCCCAGGCCCACGCCGGGTGCGCGCACTCACAGCTCAGGGGCCCATTTTGTGGGGTTCCAAGTGGCACAACAAAACTCTCCAAAGCCCCTGCAGCGGTGACCTAGGTAGGTGTGGCCTCTCCCAAAGAAACGCCCCCCTCCCCATCCTGGCACGGGGACTGGAAGGAAGCTCCCGGGACCCAGCCCTGGCCCCAGCTGGCACCACCAAGAATAAGGTTTCCTGCCGCTAGGGGAACCTTCCTTTGTTTTCTGTTTGTTTTGGGGGATGCCTATGGGATAACAGGGATCAAACACGGCTCAGTGACGCTCAAGGCCAGCGCCCTCCCTGCCGGACCCTCCCTCCGGCCCTCTCCCCCTCTCCGATGGAGACCCCGAGATTCGCCAGAGATTGGGGGGGGTTAGGCACCCACCTAAGGCAGCACAAGCCCCGGGCCTCCAGCTTCGCCACAAGGTGGGAAGAAGTAGAGGTCCCACCACATGCTGCTGACCGGCCACAGAGGGGTTGGGGGGGGGGGGGTCCGAGGCGCTGAGTCCTGGAACAACGCCCACCCTGGGAAACAGAGGCGGGGGGAGCGCCAGGACAAACGCCCCATTTACAGATGCTGGAAGGCAGCCAGGAGGCAGAGCGCCCTGGCCGGAGAGCGGGCTGGGCGGCTGCGGGGAGCAGGGTCGGGGCAGTGGCCGGGGGTCTCTGGAGGGCAGAGCGGCGCAGAGGACACCCCGAGAGGGTCCTGGGCTGAAGAGCCTGCAGAGACTCAACATACTGGGGGTGGGAGGTTCTGCTGGACAGACGTGGGAGGCGGCGGCGCGCGGCTCACCGGCGCCACCGTCAGGCGGCGGCGCGCACCCCCAGCCCGGGACGCGGCGTGCCGGGACGGCGTGTGCTCCTCTCCGCCGCCACGAGGTGGCGCGCTGCCAAGCTGCACCGCACAGCGGGGGCGGCTGCGGGCTTTGTCCCGGGTCCGGGCAGGGGCACCTCGGCCGGTCGGGGCGTCCCGGGGCCGCGCATGATTCATCGGCCCAACACCCAGGCTCCCCACGCCCATCTCGTGCAAGCCACGAAGCACCCCGCGATAACGAGGGGCGCTGCGTGGCCCTCGACCCGAGACGGGCCAAGCCGTCGCCCGGGTGAGAGGGCGGCTCGTTATCGCTGATCGCTATTACCCCAAGTGATAGCAGCTGCGTCTCCGCGTCTCCGACCGGCGCTCCCTCCCCCGGGTCCCCCCCACTCTGCCTTCCACCCCCCAGGGGCCTTGGACCGCGCTCAGACTCCCTCTGGGGCTGCAGGGCTGGGCGCTCCTTGTGGTGGGGCACTGATCCCGGAGGGTGGGGGGGTCGCACACAGTGTGCTCCTGGCCAGCCGGGTTCGGGAGGACGCACCTCTCAGGCCCCATGGGTCCCCTGGCCAATATTTACCAGCCTCGGTATTCAGCGGGGTTCTGACCTGCAGGAGAGTGGCTGAGGAGAAACAATGACAGCATAGCAATAATTGGCAAAACCTGGCAGTACTGGCGAAATGACGACTTCCTAAAAACAAGGCTTGGAGAGATTCAGATGTTCCTGTCTTTTCCTTTCTTTTGGGGGGGGAGGGAGTGTGCCCAAGAAGTGCTCATAGGTCTTTGGGACCACTCCCCCAAGGACCCAAGGGTACTGGGCCAGTGATGTGAGAGGCTGGGTGCTCAGTGCTCAGACCCGGTGATGCCAGGCTGCTCAGGCTCAGAGCTGTCCCCAGGAACCAAACACAGGGCCCCACGTGTAAGGCTCCAGCCCGCTGGGGTGTCTCCCTGGCCTGCACTCATTTCTTTCTTTTCTTTTGGTTTTTAGGGCCACACTGGAGATGCATAGGGCTTACTCCTGGCTCTGCACTGAGGAATTACTCCAGGTGAGGCTCTGGAGACCATATGGGATGCAGGGATGGAACCCAGGTGGGCCTCGTGTGTGGCGGATTTATCTCTCTGGCCCACCCCTAGAGCTCATTTCTGAGGCTGAAAAAAAAAATCAGCTCCAGTGACAACTGGCCGGAGTCACTCCGATACGGGAGGCTGGTCCCCAAAGAGAAGCCCGGGCCTCTGAGCTCACAGTGCCAGAGAACGGGCTGCGTCTCCCGGGCCCCGGATGCTTCTGCAGGAGCCGGGTAGCGCTCCTGCCGGCCCCTGAGAGGACACACGTGGGAAGCAGAGAGGAGCTGGGACATTTGCCCGTGACACGACGCGCCAACGACCGAGTCGGACTTGACCCAAAAGGCTCCGTCCCCACGGCCTGCAAAACCAGGCAGGTTCGGCGCATACGCAGTCTGGCTTTTCCTCCCCAAATCCTCAAGCCCTGCTCACTGGCACAGAGCAGGTGCGGCAGGCGAGGGCCACACAGCGCTGTCCTGTGCTGCTCAGGCAGACCAGACCCTTCTGGAAGCAAGTCTCCCTGGGCAGGTGAACCACATGTGCCCCGACCCCGCGTCCAGGCACACACGCAGGCACCTCTCGGGCTTACCCAGTTCAATCCCCACCACACGCATGAATGCAGCGGGACAGGGGAGTCTGGGATCTCGACTAAAAAAGTCCCCCCCCCCCCCCCGCCCAGTCTAGGTCCAAACCAGGTCTCCACACTCCCTGGCGGGGATGGGGCTATGCCCCCTGGCTCCCTTACTGCTCCCCACAATTTTCCAGCCTGAGCTTGCACTGCCACCAGCTGCTGTGAAGATGAGGGGCTGGAGCAATAGCACAGCGAGGAGGGCGTTTGCCTTGCACGTGGCCGACCCAGGTTCGATTCCCAGCATCCCATATGGTCCCCCAACACCGCCAGGAGTAATTCTGAGTGCAGAGCCAGGAGTAGCCCCTGTGCATCGCCGGGTGTGACCCAAAAAGCAAAAATAATAATAAGATGAGGAACTGAGGCGGCTGCATGCCACCAGGTGCCCTGTCACCGTCCTCATGGCGACTTCTGCGAACCGGGCCTACCAGACCACAACGGGGCGCCTCAGCCCTGGGGAATCTGCACTTGAGCTGAGCTGACAGCGCCTTTCAGGGGTAGGAAAGGGCCCCTCTGAGAAGCTGAGATGCCAGGAAGCCTGGCCGTGGTCACTGCCTGGAGCCCAATGATCACTTCATCCTCTCAAACCAACCTGCATCTCCTCTGACCACAGGACAATGTCAGTCAGCACCATGCCGCTGGGGTGCTCCCCTAAAATGCCTCATGACAGCCCCCCATGGTTATCTGATCCCTCTTCTCTGACTCCCTCACCCACACACTCTCCTCCCTGCTGCTCCAACAGGTCTAAGACCTCAGGACCTTTGTGCTCTGGAGGGATGAGCTGCCTCCTGGAGGCCTGCCTGGTTTGCTGCGCCCTCTCCCTCCCTCAGGGCCTTAGCCCTGCGGTCACTGCCTGGAGACCACCCTCGATTGAAAAAAGGGGGGAACCCTCTCTCCGGCGCTCCTTCATGCCCCTTCCTCCTCCATATCTGGCTCAAGCCCATCTAACCACGACCACCGCGTATCATGCAGGTACCACCAGCTCAATGAATGAATGACGGCCCCAAACGGAGAGACCCCCCCCTCACCCCCTGGCCTCCACCTCCTGGTCCCACGGGGGACTCCGGCGTGCCCTTTTCAAGCTGTCTTCCCCGCTCACCCCCAGCCGTTTGAAACCCGGACAGAACCCGGATTTCCCCTCCCCCACAAGGGAAAAAAATCAGGTGGGGGAAGATTTTCCCCCTGGAAGCCAAGGGGCGACCAGCCCCTCCCCACCCCCCCAAATACACACACATAAAGACCCGACGCAGGGGGCAAGCCTGGCAACGGCTGGGAGGGAGGGGGGTCTTGGGCCCCCAGCGGGCCGGCCACGGGCAGCCGAGTCGAGTCCCACCCCCGGACAACGGCCAGCGCCGCCGGCGCCGCTGTCCACTCGCCTACCTGCCGCCCCGCGCTCCGGCCGGCCGCCCGGCGCCCCCTCCCCGGCCCGCGAGCTGCAGCACGGCCGCCCCGGTGCGCCCGGGCCCGGCGGGAGGAGGGGCTGACGCTCCACCAACAGGTAGGAGGGGCGGCAGCGCCGGGGGCCCCTTTCCGCCCGACAGCGACCCCCACTCCGCGCCGCGTCCCCCCACCCCCCGGGGCCGCTCCTCGGGGCGGCAGCGCTGCCCCGGGGCGGGGGGCGGCGGGCGGGCGCGGGGGGGCCGGGGGACCGGGGGGCGGCGGGGCGGGGCGCGGGGGGCCGGGGGCGCGGGCGAGGGGGCGCGCCGGGGGCCGCGGGGGCCGTTACCTGGCCCTGAAGGCTGCGGGCGGGGCCGAGGGCCGCCGGGTGCTGGCTCCGGGGCCCGGCCCCTCCCCCGATCCGGCTCCGAGGCTCGGAGCCCGCAGCCGCCGCCGCCGCCTCCGCTGTCAACAAACCCCGGGCGCGTCACTTCCGGGCCCGCCCCCTAGCAACCGCGGGCCCGGCCCCGCCCACCCCACTACCGCCCCCCCCCCCCCCCCCCGCCCGCGCCCCCGCCCCCGACACGGCTCCGGCGGCGCGCGCGGACGGCGGCGCCCGAAGGTTCCGGGCCGGGCCGGCGCCCCGAGTTCCGGCCCGCCGGGCCCCGGCGTGCGGAGGCGGAGGGGGTCCCGGCTTGGGGCCGGAGCCCAGGAAGGGGTCACGGGCCGCGACCGACTCCGCCTCCGCGCGTCCGCTCCGCTCCCCGCCGTCTCCGCGGTCCCCCCCACCCCCCGCAGGGACACCGCCGCGCGATCGGGGGTCGCCCGGGACGCCCCCCGCGCGCTCCGCCCCTCCGCGCCCGCCGGGACCTGGTGCTCCCGCTGCTCCCCGCCCCGTGCTCGCCTGGCTCCCGAGGGAATCTTCCAGAAGGAGCCCCGGCCCGGCACCCCCTGCGCGGGTCCCACCACCCCCCACCACCCCCCGCGGCCGCCCCCTCGAGCCCCGCTTACTTGGCCCCCTCCCCCCGTCGTCCCGCGCGGGCCGTGGCCAGCCATCCGGGTGGGTCCTCGCGGGGATGCCCAGCTCGGCAGCGCGCTCTCGCCCCCGCCTGGACCCCGCACGCGGCTTCGGCGTCAGGTGCCCGGTTAGATGCCCAGGCTGGGAGCAGAAACGCTCTCTGGACACGCCCCTTCCACTTCTAAAGCTAATTAGTGGGGCCGAGCGAGCGGGGAGGGCCTTTGGCCTTGCACGCGGCCGCCCCGGGTTCGAGCCCCGGCAGCCCAGAGGGTGCCCTGAGCACCGCCAGGAGTAACCTTTATCCCGAGCACCGAGGGGGGTGACCCAAATAAGCAAGAAAAAAAGAACAGAACTAATTAGTGGTCTTTGATCATCTGCCACGGGAGGGAGGAGGGTGCTTGGCGATGAATCTCAGAAAGCCATAAAAAGAAATAAAAACTTAAGAATGTTGGGAGAGACAAGAAATGATCTGGGGGTGCAGAAAGAGAATAGAAGGTGGGCGCTTGCCTCGCACGGAGCACCCCGGATTGGGTGCCCGCATTGCACATAAGTCCCGCCTCCCACCCCAGGACCACCGGAGTCACCTCTCTGTGCTCGGAGCCAGGAATAGTCCCCGAATATCTCTGGGTGTGACCTAACCCCCCTACCTTAACCCCCCCCAAAAAAAACCTGCCAAATCAGCTGTCTTTCCCTCCTCCTGCAAAGAGCATACTTTGCCTCAGCCTCAGAACCAGGGCTCCCCCAAAAGTTGGGTTAGGTTCCAGTGCAGAGTAGGGCCAGTGGTCTCAGATGCAGCTAGTGTCCACCCCAAAGTCCAGGCAACTTGCGCCCTCCCACACACACATATGCCATCTTGTCAGGATAGTGGCCAACCAGGCAGGAGCGAGTGATTCTATTCTGGCTACCTCCTCCCCCTCCGGCTCCCTCTGCAATTCATCCCAACAGACCCAGTGGTACTCGTGGGGTTCATGAGGTGACAGGATCAAACCCTGGCCCTTACTTGCAAAGCGCATGCTCCAACCTTGACTGTCCATTATTACTACTTCTTGTTAGTGATTTTGGCCACACCCGAGGTCCCGCTCAGGGCTTACTCCTGGCTCTGCACTCAGGGGTCATTCCTGAAGGTACTCAGGGGACCATATGAGATGGCACCAAAGGCCAGCGCCCTACCTGCTGTATTTATTATTGTATGTATTTCTGGCCCCAACAAATTTTGACCGAGACACAGAGCTGGGAGCTTGCTCTTGGCCGTTTATAAAAGGGCCCTTGAGGCCCACTCGGGATGGGAGATGCGTGCCGAAAATAAACTATAGCCCGAACATGATGGCCATTCAATACTTGCACTGCAGACCACAACACCCTAAAGGAGACAGTAAAAGGGAATGTGCCTGCCACAGAGGCGGTGTGGCGGGAGGGAGTGGGGGGGAATCGGACGGATACTGGGAACATTGGTGGTGGAGAGTGAACAGGCACTGGTGGAGGGATGGGAACTCGATCACTTTATGACTGAAACGTAAGCATGAAAGTTTGTAAGTCTGTAGCTGTATGAATCACGGTGATTCATTAAAAAATAAAAAATGTAATTAAAAAACAAGCAAAGAGGCCCTTGAGCATCGAGAGGACAGCAGGGAGGTGTTTGCCTTGATCCGGGCTCGATCCCTGGCACCACATATGTTCCCTTGAGCACCATGAGGAATTATCCCTGAGCCCAGAGCCAGAAGTGCCCCTGGTATGGCTCCAAAACTGGAAAACACACACACACAAACAAACTTGGAGTTGCCATCTGGCCTTCCACTTCCCCTTCTAGGTGTGTCTGCAGGGAAAATGCCCTGGGCTGAGCAGCAGTTACTTCTAAAGGTCAAGGTGTGGACCGACCCAGAGGCCCTCAGCTGGCCGTGGTTATGGTGATGGACCGTGACTCATCCCACACTCGAGCAGTAAAAGGAGATGAAGGACTATTGCATGCTGACACCAACGGATCTGGGACAGGTGCTAAAGAAAGAACCAGTCACAAAGACCACTCGGTGTGATTCTATTGTTTCACGCAGAACAAGCGACAGAAAGCAAGTTTGAGGGGTGGTGATGGTGGAGCGGTGGAGAGATAAACCAGCGGGGCACATGCCTTGCACGGCCGACACCAGGGGGCGCTCCTGAGCAGAATCAGGACTAGCCTCCCTGCGCCGCACCTCGGGTCTATTCCCACACCCTGGGTGATCAGGAAAAAGATTGCTCAGAGAAACAGGTTGTCACTTTGATGTCAAACCATGAGGTTTTGTTCACCTCTTTTGCATGGCTACCCAGCAGTCCAGTAGTTGCCCAATAGATTTGTTTTTTTTTTTTTTGTTTTTGTTTTTTTTTGCTTTTTGGGGCCACACCTAGCGATGCTCAGGGGTTACTCCTGGCTCTGCACTCAGGAATTACACCTGGTGGTGCTTGGGGGACCATATGGGATGTTGGGGATCGAACCCAGGTTGGCCATGTGCAAGGCAAACGCCCTACCTGCTGTACTATCTCTCTGGAGCCAAGTTTTTTCTTTTTTTTTTCTTTTTTTTTTTTTGTTGTTGTTGTTCCTTTTTGTTTGCTGGGAGCACACCCAGCAGTGCTCAGAAATTACTTCTGGCTCTATACTCAGGGATCACTCCAAGGGGTGCTCAGGGGGCCTTATGGGATCAAACCTCGACTGGCTGCGGCTGCGTGGAAGGGGACCTCCCTGCCCACTGTACTATCTTTTTTGTTTGGGTTTGGTTATAGAAGTCCTAGAAAGTTAATTCAGCAGTCTTCTTTGATTTGTGTTTTGGTTTTGAGTCATGCCTGGCAATGCTCAGGGCTTGCTCCTGGCTCTATGTTCGGGGATCACTCCTGGCCCCCGAACTCAGGGACCATATGGAATGCCGGGGTTCAAACCTGACTTTGCCAAGTGCAAGGTAAACATCCTACCCGCTGAACTATCACTCCGACACCCTAGCTTTTAATTTTTTTTCTTGCTTTTTTTTGGGTCACACCTGGCGATGCATGGGGTTTACTCCTGGCTCTGCACTCAGGAATCACCCCTGGCGGTGCTCGGGGGACCATATGGGATGCTGGGAATCAAACCCGGGTTGGCCACGTGCAAGCAAACGCCCTACCTGCTGTGCTATTGCCCCGGCCCCTTTAATTTATTTTTAATTTATTTTTGCCTTTTGGATCACACCTGGAGGTGATCAGTGGTTACTCCTGATGATGCTTGGGGGCCATATGGGATGCCGTGAATCAAACCAGGGTTGGACACGTGCAAGGCAAATGCCCTACCCGCTGTACTTTTGCTCCAGTCCGTCTTTATTTTTAATTATAAAAAAATTTTTGGGGGACTGGAGCGATAGCACAGCGGGTAGGGCGTTTGCCTTGCACACAGCCAACATGGCCGACACAGGTTCGATTCCCAGCATCCCATATGGTCCCCTGAGCACCGCCAGGAGCAATTCCTTATTCAGTCTTTTTTTTTTTATTAATTAATTTATTTATTTATTGAATCACCATGGGAAAGGTTACAAAGCTTTCAGGTTTAGGTCTCAGTCATGCAAATATCAAGCACATTTCCCTTTACCAAAACTTATTTTTTACCATGAAGAACCCCAATAAAACCCCACCCCCCACCCCTCCCAGTCCCTGTGGGGCAGATGAATTCTAGTTAACACTCTATCTGCTTTGATTAGATTCATTGTTTCAATAAAAGATTCACCACTATTATTTAGAGTTTACCAACCCCCCCAAGTCAGACATGCTGACAAAGCATTGTGAAGTGATTTGCTGTCTACAGCTGGGTTCAAGAATTATATGTTGGTTTTGGATTTCTGCTATTTTACTTATTGACCCTGGAAGTATTTCTACTGAAAGTCAGATAGTTAAGAAATTGGTTTCTGTGCTCTGGAGTCGTGGCCGTGCTGGAGAGCTGCTAGTGGGGGGCAACTGGTGGCCTTGGTAGGGCGTGAAGGGCGGACCGAAACGCCCCCCTTCCCATGAGGTTTTAGTCGCCCCAGGAGCAATTCCTGAGTGCATGAGCCAGGAGTAACCCCTGAGCATCGCCGGGTGTGACCCAAAAAGAAAAAAAAAATTGGGGGGATCACACCTGACAGTGCTCAGGGCATACTCCTGGCTTTGTACTCAGGGATCACGCCTGACAATATTTGGGTAGTGCTCAGGGGATCATATGGGTTCTCAGGGATCTAACCTGGATTAGCTGCGTGCAAGGCAAGTGTCTTACCGGCTGTTCAATCACTCTAGTTCTCTAATTCAATAGTCTTGATAGGAATTTCCATGGAATACAAAATAAACTTCTCATACTAATGAATATGTCTAACATGGTTTCAGGATGTAAGTCAATAAAAGTAAATAGAATTAAGTTATTACTGATTATTATCAATTTATTCTATATAAGTAATTAAATAATGTAAAAGAAATTTTATTTTCCTATTGCAGTTAAATATTTAAAAGGTA